GCAAGTGGTTAATATGGTGGATTGCACTTATTTATATAGTTTAATTTTTTTTTTTATACACGAGGTATCATTTGTACACATTGAACTGGTATATAAGGAGAGCACCAAGTGTATGATTATATGAATTTCATTAAATATGTGCGTAAGTAAAGCATGTTCAGAGTGAACTTTCTTGCACGTTTGGTGCGAATTTTATTTGATTTCTGTACATATTTTAAGAGACAGTGCAGCCTCTTTTGTAAATTCTTATAAAGGGCGCTAGATGGAAGTGGTGGTAAAGTGCGAGACCTGTGGTGTAATTTAAAGTATAAAAGGCAAAATTTTTTTTTTTTTTTTTAAGTTTTGGATGGAGTGCAGGGAGATAAGAATGCTTGTCAGTTTTTAACTACGGACTGTGACTCCGTCAAGGAGATTCACCTTCTCTATTTGTCCTTTTCACCATTATTATGGAGTTAGAGCAAAACCCAAATTTTAGGTTGGTCTCCAGAAAAGGGGACATCTACCAATGGGGACACTAGTTCTGGTGACCTGGGAGTACCCAAGGATTTCCCTTTATTTGCAGGAATTTCCTCTCACTTCCAATTACTATGGGAAAGGAAGGGAAATATCCGCAATGGGACACAAATGACGTAAAAAAACTAAAATAAAAATCTGCCAGGGGTTATAACCCTCCCTTACCAACCAAAATTAAAGGGAAAAAAAAAAAAAAAAAAAAATTTTTTTTTACCTATAGTTATACTTTGTCTTGCCACTCACCTGAGACTAAGTCCTGAGTGGTTGAATTTCATCTTCATATTTGAAAGGTTTGTACTGTATAGGTGAATTCCAAACACATTGTATCCTGAGTAGTGTATGTGTTAAATAAATCTATCAAGAAAACTGCACAGTCTAAAACAAGTAATTCTTGCTGTGGGACTACAGTAGCAGGGGTGTGGAAATGTAAAATAAAACAACTACTTGTCCAGGGACTAAATCGGGGCCCCAATCTACTAGTCCCTCATGACAAAACCGTATTTAAATCGGAGGTGATTTTAGGAATGTCTGGAGCTTTTAAAAACAAAAGAGGCTTTATGGCGACTTAAACGTGTAATATTTTTAACATTGTGCGGTTTATCTCCTCCTCCCCTCCCTGTCTGTCTACAGCACTGCACCCAGGGACTAGCAGGGAAGAGAGAGACCTTGCAGGGTAATCAGCATGGATTGGCTGCTTGTCAGGAAAGGGTGGGTCAGGGCTTATACTATATCCCTTTCGCTGCCAGAGCCATTTTTGCATTTTTTTTGCACACGTTTAAAAAAAATCATTTTAGGCCTGAAGATTACATAAAACCCCCAAACATTATTATATATTTTCTGAAAACAGAGACCCTAGAGAAAAAAATGGTGGTAGTTCCAATTTTTTATGTTGCATGATATTACCTTAAAATTTCAGTAAAACATACAAGTTAATTTTAGGGCACAAAAAAGCAATAAGTTGCCTTATTTTTTTTGTAAAATATAAAAGATGAGGTTGCAGCGAGTAAATAGACATCCAACTTGTCAAACCTTAAAATTTGTGAGCGCTCGTGAAATGACGACAAACTTCATTACCCTATATTTTCTATAGGTCGACACTTTTAAAGCTCCTTATAGGTCACCAGTTTAGCATTACAGAGGTGGTCTGTGCTAGAATTATTGCTGTCATTTTAGCGTGCACGGCGATATGTAACGTGTATCGCAATCGACGGTTTCATGCGTAGGCGCCCCAGAGTGTGCTTTTACGTTTGTACGTGCGTATATGTGGGGGTGAGGGCCTCAAAAAAATTTTTTTGGGGGGGGGGAGGGATGGTATGTGCTTGGGTGTGTATATATATATATATATATATATATATATATATATATATATATATATATATATATAAAAAAACCACCACACTGCTCACTTCCCACTAGCAGATGGGCAAGCGGAGCCCGGGAGACCAAGACGGGGGCTGGCATTGTGTGAAGAAATTGGCGGCAGTGCTGCCACCGCCAATTGCTTCACCTGACAGGAGAGTCCTGCTGCTTGTCCGCAGCAGGGCTAAAGGTTGAAAGAAGCTACCTGCCCAGCACCTGGAACTACGGGCGTCAGGTGATAGGAATCCAACTTCCCTGAGTAAATATAATGAGACGTTATTTTACATCTCCATGTCGCTGGTCCTTAAGTATAAAAGAGTTCAGGCATCATTGGTCATGATGTGCACACACCTGAAGGGATCTTGAAGGTCTGAGTCTCCAAGGGATAGACTACAGCTCTGAGCCTACCGTACGCTGCTGCTAACTACACAGGTTGCATAAAGTGCAGGAGGTGAGTGTCCATATTGTACCCAGTGCCTGAAGCAAAATTACAGGCCGTCCCCCACGTTGCAGGGTTAGACTCCCAGGTATTACAAAGGTTGCACTGCTTCTATTGCTATTAAAAAAAAAAAAAAAAAAAAAAAAAAAAAAAAAGAGTGCAGATACCAATTAAAAGATTATAGCGTAAAAAAAAACCAAACTAAGCTGTGAGTGATTTCTCCATAAGGGAGGACTCGAGTGTGGGGGACACAAAGTGGGCATATCCTTCAAACTTTTGCCAGTGTCCAATCACCTGAAGGTGCCAGCCCATACCCTGGTTTAAAGAATATCAAGCTTTTGTCCCATACTGTACAACTGGGATTACAGGGGCATGGCCATAAGCATGGTCACCGCCAATTCAAACCTGTAGCTCATCAGTCAGCACCGAGCCACACTCAGTCCTGCTTTCTGGACTGGCAGTGTTTTCTCCATTGTCGAATCCCTCTCGCTCTGGGCTGCAGTGTCTGGGGCATATGGGAGACTCACAAATAAAGAATTTGACTCACTTGTTAGGGGTAAAGAAAGCATCTGAATTTACCTTTAGGAGGCATGCACATCAAATAGCAACTAGAATTACTACAGCTTTTTAAACGGTCATACAGAAGTAGACTGTAAACATTTTTGACAGATAAAGCAGGCTTTTACTAGGTGCAGATCATCTTCTTCTGTTAAACTGTTTGGATTTGGAACTTCTACATTTTCTTTAGATTAGACTATGTAATGTTCTACAGGTACTGCTGACGTCAGCCTGCAGTCCAAAACACATCCATGAGCCAGCTTCCAGCAGGAGTGAAATGGAACAAAAAGGCCATTTGCAGTTCAAATAAAAGTCTTTCAATCTATAACCAAAGGATCTGCAGAACAAAGACAGGCAGTAGATTTCCACTTTTACAGACTGCATTATCCACTGCAATTTATACAAATAATTTTTAACGGACAGTATGGAAAAGAAAAAGATGATCAAAGGAGTGAAACAAACAAACACACACACACACACTAATAGTGTTTTGAAAAAAGTGAATAAAGCTCAAAATCCTTCTAATAGCCTTTATTTCCATACACACAAATGCATTGGGAACACTACACGTTCTATTCCAAATCAAAACATGAAAAAAAAAAATCTCAAATTTGTGTTCCTCTAAAAAAAAAAAAAAAAAAAAAAAAAAAAAAATTGAAGAAAAGTGAATATTAGACTGTTCAAAAAATAGCAGTGTTTGTATTCTTCTTTACAAACTCAAACATTCACTATATAAAACTGAAAAATGTTTGAAGATTTTGCTTTCCTTTGAATCACTTAATGAATATTTAGTTGTATAAGCACTGTTTCTGAGAACTGCTGTACATCTGTGTTGCATGGAGTCAACCAACTTCTGGCACCTGTGAACAGGTATTCCAGCCCAGGATGATTGGACTACATTCCACAGTTCTTCTCTATTTCTTGGTTTTGCCTCAGAAACTGCATTTTTGATGTCACCCCACAAGTTTCCTATTGGATTAAGATCCGGGGATTGGGCTGGCCACTCCATAACGTCAATCTTGTTGGTCTGGAACCAAGATGTTCCACGTTTACTGGTGTGTTTGGGGGTCATCTTGTTGTAACACCCAGTTCAAGGGCTTTTCCTCTTCAGCATAAGGCAGCATGACCTCTTCAAGTATTCTGATGTATTCAAACTGATCCATGATCCCTGGTATGCGATAAATAGGCCCAACACCGTAGTATGAGAAACATCCCCATATCATGATGCTTGCGCAACCATGCTTCACTGTCTTCACAGTGTACTGTGGCTTGAATTCAGTGTTTGGGGGTCGTCTGACAAACTGTCTCCGGCCACTAGACCCAAAAAGAACAATCTTACTTTCATCAGTCCACAAAATGTTGCGCCATTTCTCTTTAGGCCAGTCAATGTGCTCTTTGGCAAATTGTAACCTCTTCAGCACGTCTTTTTTTCAATAGTGGGACTTTGCGGGGGCTTCTTGCAGATAGCTTGGCTTCACATAGGCGTCTTCTAATTGTAACAGTACTCACAGGTAACTTTAGACCTTCTTTGATCTTCCTGGAGCCGATTGTTGGCTGAGTCCTTGCCATTTTGGCTATTCTATCCATTCGAATAGTAGTTTTTCGCTTTCTTCCACGTCTTTCAGGTTTTGGTTGCCATTTTAAAGCATTTGCGATCATTTTAGCTAAGCAGCCTATCATTTTCTGCACTTCTTTATAGGTTTTCCCCTCTCCAAGCAACTTTTTAATCAAAGTGCGCTGTTCTTTTGAACAATGTCTGGAACGACCCATTTTCCTCAGAATTTCAGAGAGAAATGCACTGTAACCAGCATGTACAACATTTGCTGCCTTCCTTCCTTAAATAAGGGCAATAATTGCCACCTGTTTTTCAAAGAATGAATGACCTCACTAATAGAACTCCACACTGCTATTATTTTGAACATGCCCCTTTCAATTAGTGATTCAATTACACAGAATCAGCAGCATGCATGTCATGACTGTTTGATTTCTATTTTGAACACAACTGTATATATACACACACACACACACACACACACACACACACACACACACACACACCCAGCTAAAGGGTTTTTTTAAATTAATCTTAATTGTTGCAGCTCAGTGAGACAAATAAAACCACTCCTTTTACCTGGCCGCTTTCTTTCTTCATTCTTCTTTGTTGGGTCTTGAGAGCCTCCAGCTCCATCATCACTCCTTTCTTTGCCATCTTTCTTGGAATCTTTGTTGTCAGTCTTCTCAGTCTTGTCAGATTTTTTGTCATCTTTTTTTACTGAACTTGGAGGCCTTAAAAATTTAAACATACAACATACATGACACAAACTGCTAAGATGGGACCATTTATTTATTTCTAACACACAGACATAAAGACCCTTACTTGCTGCTTTTATCACCACCTGATGACTTCCTCTCACTGGATGTTTTCCCAGAACTACTTTTGTCATCCCCCTCTTTCTTTTGGTCACGCTTGGAAGGATCGCTCTTCCACTAAAATAGACAAGGATAATTGACAAAACACCCTAATCAACAAATTCCAACAACAAAACCCATGAAGATAAGCCCTACTTGCCTTTTCTACAGATATCTGTTGGCCATGCAACTCTGTACGATGGAGGTGAGATATGCACCTGGACACATCGGTACTAGATGACATTGTGACAATTCCATAGCATTTTGCCCCTGGACTCTTTGCATTAGTTACTACTTTTGCACTAAGAACCTAGAAAAAAAAAAATTAGGATTCAGAATAAAACATAACAGCCTTAGTATTTAAAAATAGCAATCCTGCAATAAAAAAAAAAACACAAAAAAAAAAACAAAACATAACTTGCACAATTCTTGCAACTAGGTTATCATTTTCTGTATGTGTTGTATAGGTAAGTACCGTATGTTATGTGCGTGTTACCTGTCTAACTAAAACAAACCAGTTACAAACAAACATCGCCAAACTGAGCCCAATACTAGTGTGTAAAAAAAAAAAAACACACACTAGTGTTTTAGGCTTTTCTAGGGGGCATAACATGTTTGAATAAAAAGGCAGAATACACAGGCCTTAAAGCACTGAGCAGATTTTTTTTTAAACTAAAGTTATTTGCACAATTTGCGATTTACTACACGTACACACACCTTTCCATATTTTCCAAAAAGATTCTTTAGGTCTGCTGCTTTTGTATTCGAAGAAAGTCCACTGACCCATAGATTTCTCTGGGAGCTTCCACTTGTGCTACTAGCACTTCCTAAATTGAAAAAAAAAATTTTTTTTACATTTACTTCGAAGGAAATGGCAAAATACTAAACCAATGTAACACAAGAACTAACCCAGCCATTCAAGAGTTTTAAATAAACCCGGAAACATTTTTTTTTATGGAAACAGTCCTGTGTATAAATATCTATACTCCATACAAAAACAAAAAGACACAGGGGAGATCTTTAAAAGAAGACATAATTAACAGATTGGTGCAATAATGCAGCAGAAATCCACATTAAATTGAAAACTCCTGCAAAAATGCTGGTCTTGGAACCGACTGGGAAAATGTACAACCCCGATCATGTTTTTTTTTTGTTGTTTGTGCCCGGTTGAAGAACTCCCGCACTTCACCTACCCATCTGATCCTAGGACAGTAGTGTTCACAAGATCAGAAAGCAAGTATGGACAAGGGAAGCAAATAAAAAAAAAAAAAAAAAAAAAAACACCGAAAAGAATTTTAGGCTGCACCCACCAATTTGCTCTGCCCTTAAGACTGTACTCACATGAACGCAGTCAAAATTAGATGTACATTTCCATCCATTTTTTGCACGTTTTACCGTGTGTTGGCATGTGTTTTACCGCGTACGCATATACTGTGCATTTTAAAGCAAAGCAGGTTGACGCAGCATAGTGTTCACAGGACAAAAAAAAAATTAAGATGTCCATGCATTGACCTGCGTTTAACAGCTGTGCTAAAAAGCAGGATTACTGCATTAGCGTAAATCCCTAAAACTAAAAAATAGTTTCAAAAAGAAACTGTCAGAAACACTGTAAAACCCCTTGACAAACTGCAAACCTGTTTGTGCCCAACCGTATCACTAATCAGACTTGACGGCTTACACAGAACAACAGAGGAGCGCTGCCACATGGGGGGGGGGGGGGGGGGGTTATTTACTGGAGTTGGAGTTCACAAAGTCAGGCTCACCTATGCATAGAATCCAATCAGCTTCTAACCTCAGCTTGTTCAATTAAGCTTTGCCAATAAAACCTGGAAGCTGTTTGGTCTCTATGCAGAAGTGAGCCTGTTTTGCACTCTACGGCTTTAGTAAATAAACCCCTATGTGTCAAAAGCATAGCTATACTCAAAGAGAGAAAACTAAATCATGGAAAAGTTTTCATGGATGCAAATAGTAATTCTCCCAACCAGGTACATTTAGGGTGCATGCCAACTTAAAAATAAAAACCAGTTAAGTGCAGGCACCTAGGAGGCACCCTCACATGCTCAGTTTGGTGCGTATTGCTAGAGAGTTTTTTTTATTTTGGGAGGGTGCATGTGATCGGAAAAGGGCCAATCCGCACTGTCCAAGCAGTGGGTCATGGATCTTCATAGGAAAGAGGAGAATGAAAACTCCTCCTACAAGCTTTTAACCAGTGCTCAGTTGCACACTGATAGAAGTTACAAGACTGCTGTATACTGCTGATGAGAAAACATATTTAGCAGTTTATATTTACTAAAATAATTGCATTTACATGTTATGTGTACTGTGGGAGACCAAATATAGTGCATGCAGGGTCCAAGGTTTAGTAACACTTGGAGATAAGATTTCAGTAATTAAAAATACTGAACATATCAAAAACACACAAATGATCATATGTCTGGCCAAATGTGTGAAATTACTTGGAACCCTTGCAGAGGAAACAACAAATTTCCTCAAAAAGAAGCCACCGAGTCCCACCTGTCAGCACGGCAGGTGAAATCAGATAAGTCCAAGTTAAATTATGAAACCCCCCCCATAGGTCAGTTGCAAAACCCATTTCACCGTAAGCAAAGGATATATTGTTAAATGTTTAAAAGAGGTAAAGACTGTTCTACAAATATTTTCCAATTAATCCTGTATGTGAGCATAAAAAAAAAAAAAAAAAAAAAAAAAAAAAAAAAATCTAAAAAGCAGTGTTTCTCAACCACCAAACCGATGACCCTCGACAGGCCACAGCATCCGCCTTCCAGGCCCTACAGCCAGCTGCAGATCCCATCATCTCCCAAAATGGCCTGCAATGCCTCCCCAGAGTACCACTAGGTCAGAACAAACAGAGGGCGCACAGGCCTAGTGCATTACCATAAAAAAAATGTTTAAGAAGAGATAAAGTAGGTGTTGTACTCAAACGACAAAGTCAACAACACCTACTTTATTTCTTATTAAACATTTTTTATGGTAATGCACTAGGCCTGTGCGCCCTCTGTTTGTTCTTTCCTCATTCAGTATATTTGGATTTCCCCGGTCTATTGCGATGCATGTTCCAGAACATTCTCAATGTGGTGTTAGCCTGCATCAAGTCCATCCCCAAGCGCAGGAGCATTTGTGTTTGCTAATACTACTAGTTCCCCTGAGAACCCATATCCCACATAGGGACCCCAAAGCTTTCACAGGGCCACCCATTTGTTGCAAAAACTCCAGTTTACCAGGCTCTGGTCAGTGTTGGCTCACTGGTCTAGAAGAATCTAATTAGCTAACAGGACAATGCAATAAAAAAAATATTTACATGACTAAAATAGTAAACACAGCCCTAAAAACCTCACATAGGCAAATAGAGCAGAAAAAGGACTTCTGCCAAGACACTACATTCCATCTCCAAAAGTTTCCTTATTTGTAATAGTAAAAAGGAGAGGCCAAGCTCAATGGCACCTAAACGTGTGGTTCTGCAAAGAGAAAAATAGCGCTGCAAGTGCGGCAAAATGCATTGATTGAAGCTGGTCGCCTAAAAGAAGCCCCTGTTCCTATTTAGGTGGCAAGCTTCGCAAAATATAGTTTGCCATGTATGCAGCAATTTTTCCTCTTGCAGCAGAACCACATGTTTAGGCGACACTGAAAATGGATGGAACCTGAACACGCATGCTGCATTTTGCCACTATTGCAGTGTGTTTTGCGATCGCAGGCAGAATTGCAGCAATTCTGTCTGAGATCTCAAAATACCAGATGTGTATCTTTCAGATACATTAATTGACATATTAATTGAACACTTTTTTTTTTTTTTTTAATAACCATGACGACAAAAAATGCAGCTTGGCATTGCTGACCTTTGATAACACCAGATGCCTAGCTCTCATGCTGATACCGTGGCATCAATACTTTGAGTCGCTGGCCTGGAACAAGCCCGCAAATCAAACTTCAAGCATACAAACTCGTTCAAGTCAATTACAAAAATAGCGCTAGACGATTACCATGTCAGCCACACAGGGTACAAATCTCTCAATAAAGGAACAGGAAGGTAGCGTGTTGGGAAGTTTGTAAACAGATTATTGAAATGTACAGAGAAATAAAGTGTTCATGCTATGATGGGGGGGGGGGGGGGGAATATGACAAGATAGCATTGAGCACACAACGCAAACCAGGGCCTGAATAGTTTATCAAAAAGGAACATACCAGTCCAACTAGAAGAAAGGGAAAACCTTACCTTTATCATCTTTGGATGTGGTTTTGCTTTCCTTGCCATCTTTGGACGAACTGTAAGAAGCAAGTAATTAAGGAAATAAAATGAACGTCATATCAGAAAATCCTAGTTAGGAAACACTAAAATACAAAAAACACCTTGCAATTGCTCAATTGCATCTTAGAAGAACACAAGGATTCCCTGAAAAGTTTCTTGATATGATTTTCCCCAGGATGCCTGTAGTTCTAGGTTTTCTGAAAATTCTATTCAATGTGGAATTATGGTAAATCTTCTCCCAAATTCAAGAACAGGACTTGACTTCATTTTGTTTTCGGGCAGTTGTTTCTTACCATCACCACAAGTTTAGAAACTTGTCAATTTGGAAAAATGAAATAATAAAATTGCCAGCAATTCAATAATGAAATTGACAGAACATACTGGGAAGATCTTGAATTAAAAAATAAAATAAAAAAAAATATAAAAAATAAAAAAAAATGAACTTATGAGGCTCAAAAACATTATAAAAACAAGGTACTAATATTCTTGATGCTACCCCTTAATGTAGAGTGCTCTTAGGGAACGCTGGTAATCAGTATCGTAAAGAACTGACATAGAAAAACAAACCTCTTTGCTTGACCAGAGGTCCCAGTAGACGAGGGACCTTTCTTCTGAGAATCCTTGTCTTTATCTCCAGATTCAGCTTTCTTCGAACTTTCTCTAGCTTCTTTCTTAACACCATCTCCTTTTACGTTCTCTTTGACATCTTTTTGGTCCTCGGACAGGTCATCTTTTTGTTTCTCCAGGCCATCCTTGGTGCCACTCGTCTCCTGTTCATCCTTTGCCTTGCATGCCTCAGAATCTGCAAGTTTTACATTTTTACCTGTTTCGAGTAGGTCATCATCCCCATCACAATCGATAGTAATGGCATCTTCAGCCTGGATTGTGACAGACACATTATCGTCATCAGCTTCTTTCACAGAAGGGTTATCCTTCACTTCTTCTTTAACAGCGAGTTCTGATCCATTTTCTTCTGAATG